TTGGTAAGCGGTGCACAGGAAGAGCAAGCCATCGTGGCGGTCGCGGTGAATTGTTTTGGTTTGGTTTGTTTTCACTAGAAGAGGTTTGAGTAATCTCTACAACTGCTCTGAAGTTTCTAGCCCAGCCTGCAGCTGTGATTTTGCAATGTCTTTAGGTGGTACAATTTTCCTTTCTCTGCAACACACACTCGCATGCACACAGACTGCTTTTTGAAAAGCCAAGCTGTAGAACTGTTTACGGAAACCATTAAGTGTAAGTTAAGTGCTTCTATCCCCCTACATTGGTTGGAATCATGCACCCACATTATGAGCAATGGCTGAGACTTCTGCTGAAAAAGAAGAGGAAAATCTTTTGTCTTACATTTAAATTAATTAAAATACTAAAGTTAAAACTTGAGTTCTTCACTAGCACTAACTACATTTTTTTTTTTTTTTTTTTGTGAGACAGAGTTTTGCTCTGCTGCCCAGGCTGGAGTGCAGTGGCATGATCTCATCTCACTGCAACCTCCGCCTCCCAGGTTCAAGCAATTCTTTTGCCCCAGCCTCCGGAGTAGTTGGGATTACAGGCGCCTGCCACTGCACCCACCACCATGCCCAGCTGTTATTTGTATTTTTAGTAGAGACAGGGTTTTACCATATTAACCAGGCTGGTCTCGAACTCCTGACCTCGTGATCTGCCTGCCTCGGCCTTCCAAAGTCCTGGTATTACAGGTGTGAGCCGCTGTACCTGGCCACTAACTACATTTTAAGGGTTCGGCCATCAACGGCCAGTGGCTGCTGTATTGGATGATGCAGGTTACAAACCATTTCCATCATTGTAGAAAGTTCTTTTGGGCAGCACGGCTCTAAAATAAAAAGCAGATGTTTGTAGACATTTGTATGTGTTCAGAGCTAGTACTGGGAGAATATGAAAGGAGCAGAGAAAGGGAGAAAGCTCTGGTGGCTATTGAACATGTACTGTAGGCTGCAGTGAAGACAGGCCAATTAGCAAATCCATTATTCTATTCCCCAGGCTAATTATTTAAATATGGCCCTGACTAGGCCACTGGTCTAAGAAAATGAATTTAGTAAACTGAACTTTGATTGTAAAATACAAACAAGGCATATTTGAAAAATACAGAAATGCTCCCATATGCTGAGGACCAGGAGAGTTCTTACAGGCCAGTCATCAAGCACTTAGATGCTGGGAGACCTACTGCCCACCTGGCCAAACCCCTCACTTAATCCTCAAACTACACTATTGGTCAATATTATTAGCTCATTTTATGAAGGAACTGAGGCTTAGAGAAGTTCCACACCCTGGGACACACAGCCTGCCCATGGAGGATTTGGGATTCTGGATCTGCTTAGCCTGAGCCCAGGACAGGATTTTAATGACCAAGGCCTCCTTGGGAGCTTAAAAGGGGAGGGAAGTACGCTGCCCGGATTTGCTGAATATTCTTTGCTCCCTGTGATCAGTAACTTACATGCCACATATACACATATAAACTTTAGTATCCCCAGTTCACGGTTAGCATGACACAGAAAACTGCCAGGCAACATGAAGTGGCAAAAACTCAGTAATAGCTTACAAAGAGTGCAATCTATTCTAGAATAAGAACCTATTCTAGAATACTTGACGATAAGATGTGATGAGGTGAGTTGGCAGGTAGGTTCACCAAGAAGTATTAGTTAGAAAAAGAAAAAGAAAAACTGTGCCAAAGAAATCTATCATGTCACCAATAACTGGTATTAAGTATTGCAAAACTCATTTCCATAATTTCACTCAGGTAGCTATGAATCAGCTTTCTGCCATAGGACAGATGGCAGAGTCTCATGGGCTAGGATAAAACCTTAACAGCTACTCTCTTTTGTCTGCCCCACCCTGATTGGTAGCAACTCTCAGATACGTGAAAACTTATTACCATTTAATTGTGCCCGCTCCCCCTGCCAAGCTAAGGAGACCTTGGGGAAACCAGTCTGTCTGTTCAAATGAGAAATTAGTCATGCAAGCTACAATTGCCACATAGATATGAGTTCTGTGTGCCTGGAAACTTCAAACTCACAAACATTCCATGGGTCTTGCAGGGTGATGGGTTCCATGCTGTTGCCCCTGGCAGGAAAGATGGAAAGCATTGATGCTGTGCATTTTAGCCAGAACTGTATTGTCCACCTGCTGGATTTAGCTTCCTCCTCTCTGCCCTCCTGCTGCATCACAGCTTCCCTTGCACACAACCTTTTCTCAGCCCACATCTCATTTTTTTTGAGGCATTTTATATTTTATATTTTATTTTTATTTTTTTTTATTTTTTATTTTTGAGATGGAGTTTCGCTCTTGTTACCCAGGCTGGGGTGCAATGGCGCGATCTCGGCTCACCGCAACCTCCACCTCTTGGGTTCAGGCACTTCTCCTGCCTCAGCCTCCTGAGTAGCTGGGATTACAGGCACGTGCCACCATGCCCAGCTAATTTTTTTGTATTTTTAGTAGAGACGGGGTTTCACCATGTTGACCAGGATGGTCTCGAGGCCGGGCGCGGTGGCTCAAGCCTGTAATCCCAGCACTTTGGGAGGCTGAGGCGGGTAGATCACGAGGTCAAGAGGCATTTTATATTTTTTTAAAATGTGTAATAAGTGAGTTTTTAGCCACCAGGATGCTGCTAGAAGAGGTTGGGCTCTGGTATCTGAAAGGGCCTCCAGCTGTAACAAGCTCCCAGACAAACCTTGGTAGGGAGAGAGGGTTAAGCATTTCTTTGGGTGTGCTGCTTCTGGAAAGTTCCTGAGTTACAAGAGCCATTGCTATCTGCTTACTTAATTGCTATGACTCCCATTGTAATGATGGTTAATTTATTCCCACTGGCAATAGAATTATACCCGGATGCTCAGGAGACAGTGTGCTTGTGTACTTTGCATTTGAACAAGGCTTCATGTTTAGGATAATGGAGTATGGAGTAAGGGGGCTTGCAGACTTGTGTCTGAGAAATAAGCAGGGAAATGGGACATGAGGCAGGTCAGAAATGTGTGTACTGAAATGAAGAAGTACCTCTTCCCGTTTATGGAAGCTGACCATTTTGTGTATTTTCTAGAAAACATGAAGGTAACCCAAAGCCAGCATGAATCTCACATCAAAATTTCTCTCTTCTGTGGCTCAGGCTTCCTTCTGTTTTTTCAAATAGACTCACCACTGCTGACCACAAATTTCGATTGAACTAATTATCCCTTTTATGATTTTTTTAATAAAAAAAAAGCTCTTTACAGGTCTCTAAATAAAATTACTTTGTTTCTATCAGTCTTATTGATCTCTTTCCCTCTCTGTGATGTTATTTTTGGATTTCACGTAATTCGTTTGTTGAAACCTCTGATATCCCTAAGGGAGAATTGAGTGAAGAATTGCACGGTATTAAATGTCATTCAATGCGATATTATGAAATTCCCATCTTAGCCTTTCAGGTCACTATCCTCTTGTTTTTCTCTTGCAGGTATGGGTTCATAGAAGGGCACGTGGTGATTCCTCGGATCCACCCCAACTCCATCTGTGCAGCAAACAACACAGGGGTGTACATTCTCACGTCCAACACCTCCCAGTATGACACATATTGCTTCAATGCTTCAGGTTGGTTCTCAGGCGGGGTGTCTGTTGGCATGAAAGGCTTTGGGAGCCTGGTCTTTGGATCTCAGCTTAAGTGGGGATTCATGTAGCCTCTACTTACATAACAAATGCTCACTCAATATCTGTATAGCAGAGACAACATTCCTGTCTCTGTGGAGCTTAAACACTGAATTGGAGAGGCAAACAGTAAACAAATAAATATTAAATACAGGGTTGGCATGGTGGCTCACACCTGTAATCCCACCACTTTGGGAGGCCAAGGTGAGCAGATCACCTGAGGTCAGGAGTTTGAGACCAGCCTGACCAACATGGAGAAACCCCATCTCTCTTAAAAACACACAAAAAATTAGCCGGGTGTGGTAGAACATGCCTGTAATCCCAACTGCTCGGGAGGCTGAAGCAGGAAAATCGATTGAACCCTGGGAGGCAGAGGTTGTGGTGAGACGAGATCGCGCCATTGCACTCCAGCCTGGGCAACAAGAGCGAAACTCCGGCTCAAAAATAAATAAATAAACAGATAAATATTAAATACCCTTCAGGGGTGTCCAATATTTTGGCTTCCCTGGGTTGCATTGGGAGAAGAATTGTCTTGGGCCCCATATAAATTAGACAAAGACTAACTAGCTGATAAGCTATAAAACAACCAAACAAAATCACTCAAAAAAAAATCTCATAATGTTTTAAGGAAGTTTACAGATTTGTGTTGGATCACATTCAAAGTCATCTTGGACCATGTTCAAAGTCATCTTGGACCACATGTGGCCTGCAAGTTGCAGGTCAGACAAGCTTGAAGTCAGAAAGTGATACAAGTGCTGTAAAAAAGAAAGCAGAATACGAGGCTAGCTAGTACTAGGGATGCTTTTATTTTCTGAAAAGGTGGTCAGGGAACGTGCCTCCTGGCCTTTTCTGAGAATATCAGTGCTCAGAGGGGGGAATGCCAAGGAATAAAGTCAGAGAGCTAAGCAAGGGCCCGCTCACAGGGGGTGATTCATTCTCAATGTGATAGGAAACCATTACAGGCTTTGACTAAGGGAGTGACATGAATCTAATGATAGCTTTGGGGTGTGAGTCAAATGTCTTAGCTGAGAGGTATTTATTATATGAGAGGACTGGAAAAAAAGTCTTGGAGAGTATATGGTATGCCTTTGAGCTTCTTAAATATCCCTTACCCAACAGTTGAGAGAACCAGAGAAGAAGAAACCTAAGTTAAGATGTAGATGCTGGGACCCAGGCCAGCCTTTCTCCATGTCTTTGGGACTTTCTCCCAACCCTTAACCTAGGAAATTCTGCTTATGAGCCTAATTCAAGTCCTAGCAAAATTAAAGAATTCTATGCATCAAATTTTCAGATTTTTTTGAGAAGGATCAAAATTATAAATGTCAAATTTCTGGATGCCAACTATCAAAAGTCTTACCTCTTAAACTGCGCCTTCTGTTCCCATGGAAGGTTTGAAGTTGTGTGAAGGAAAAGATGAAGCCTTGAGTTAAACTTAGTACATCTTGCTGGAGTGTCAGTTTTCCTTAAAGGTGGGAAGGGGATGTTAAATTAGGTGGAAAGGGACTTACAACATTATCAGCCTGAGACAAACACAGATATATATATATATATATATATTTGTATATATTATATATTTTTTGTGTATATTATATATATACACATAGAGAGAGTAAAATATAAAATATGCATGGATTTCTAAGCTAGAAAAAGGACATCAACTTAATTATGAGATATTTTACCTACTAATAAAAAAAACGAAAATTAAAATTAATTGCTATATTGCATTAGTGGCTTTAGTCTATACCACCCACCCTTTGTTGTATGAACAGTAGGGATCAGAGTGGAAATTCAGAGAAGAAATCTACAGTTTAGGACAAAGTATCAGGGCTAGCAGTTGAAGTGGAGTGTGTGATGCCAGTAGATTTTGACAAAAATTTACAGGTCACTAAACCTATGGAGAGGAACAGAAAACTGTAGAATGTTTATTCCTCCCCGTTACGTGAGTGAAAAACACAAATGGAGTTTGACCAAAGGGAAGGTAGTCCAATGAACACCAAACAGTACACAACTCATACATACTCATTTCCATACCCATGTCTAGCATGTCATTCTAATGATATTATAATGAGAAAATCACATATAAACAAGCAAGAAATAGACACAGAGCAACATGTGGTCTAGCTAGCTCCATCTAGGTGCAACAGGTCAGAGGGAGACATTGGGAAAAGCTTGTGCTTTAGAGGAAGAGGTTAGCTCAGTGGGAAATGGCTGGCATGAGGCCATACACTCCTGAGTCTCTGGGCACTGCTTATTGTGTCTCCCATTAAGCCTTGCTGAGTGAATGCATGCAATAAGTTATGTAGTTGCATACCCACATTGTCTTACCTGTTTTACAACTTGGTATCACTTGCCAGAAGGAACCTCAACCCAAACAGGCAGAAGCTCACACCGTTTTATTGCCTGGCATCGGAGCCTGCTACTGAGACTTGTTTCTATCCTTAATTTTGTTCATGAGGTTGTGGCCATCCCTGGAGTTGGGAGTAAGAGCATTGATTAGGTTTTTTCTCCTTGGAGGGTTAGTTCAGTTGAAAGGTTTGAGAGGTATAGCGTGGGTATTTCTTACTAACATGGATGAATTAAATAAGAAAGCTAGAAGTAATGTTTTTCATTTTCTCTGTTTTCCAAATTGACTCAATATTGATGGCTACTTTTGTAAGTTTTTATTTAAGTTTAAAGGGAATATTTATTGATCACCTCTATGGGCTCAGTACTGCACTAGGCACAGATGGGGTAAAAAAAACTGGAGGCTACATTACTTAAAGAACTTCACAATCTTCTTGAAGCAAGGAGACAACAAAATAAAGAAACTGGAGAAGAGGATACATGTGTTTAAGGAAAAATAAATTCTAAATGTCTTGGATTAGAGTCGGATGATATGGGTATTAAGTGAGCTAAAGATTTCGATAAACTGCCCTCTGCAAAGGATTTTGTTGCAAGGATCCTTGATTCTAATTTAGCCTGAGAGCTGCTAGCAGTTGGTCCTTTCCCAGTGCTGTGATCCCCCCATAAAACGGCTCTAGGGACAAAAATCGGCTTGATCTTAGTAGATAGCTTCCATAAGCTTAAAGTTTTAGCAGTATATTTAGAAACATGGCCTCTGGCTAACAAATTAAAATAAGGCAGAACTTGAAAAGGCCTTTGTGATTTTTTTTTTTTTTTTTTGCCTCATTCTCAGTGGTTAAGGTCCAATATGAGCCTAGAGACTTCTGTGTGAACTCAGAACTGACTTGAATTCATTCATTTATTAAGCTTGCTTTCAGTCAAGTGCCCCATGTTCTTTTGAAGGTAGAATTACAGGGAAGATCTACGTGTATTTGTTTATCCATTTCCTCCTTTGTGCAACAACTATTTGAGAATATTTATGAGATACCTAGAATGTATCAAGAATTGAGGAGGGTGGCTTTCTATCTGACACCCAGAGATTAGTGGCTAGACTGAATAATTAATGTTTCTCTTGGTTATTTTGGTGCGTGGAAGCCAACGTTTATGAGAATGCCCACCTCAGAGAATTTCTAACAAGTCCTCAGATTCAAGATCACCTCACCAAGTCTAGCTTTCCAAGTAGTACAGAGCTCATTAAATGGAAAGAAAGGCTATCTAATGAGGCCCTGGAATCCAACATGAGAGCATGAATGTGTCAACTGCACATTTGGATCACCATCCCCTAAACATATTTGCCAGATTTGATGTTCTTTATAAAAGTTACAGTGACTTGGAGCATGAAGGGTGTCCATGTGAACAAATGGTCTAGTAATTTACAAAACTGTCTTAGGATTTTTGACATCATGCCCCATTCCATTACAACGTGCTGCCTGGAGATTCCCAATGTACTGTTACTTGCAGCTGTGTATGAAGTTGGGGGAGATTGTTCCATCCCTGACATCAAGACGCCATAATCTAAAGCCTGTTTCCAGGTGTGCACAACATACAAACATCAGAAACATCTCATAGGTTGGTATTTCCAAGAGAAACAAGATAGATGCTCCCCCAAATCTCCCAGGCTGGCAGTATGCCCTTATTTTCAAATGCAATAATTTTGGAAAATATTTTTGAAAACTGTAGAAAGCTAAATTCATATTAATTATTACTGCCCCCCATGACCTTGTGAATTCCTCAGAAGCAGGGACAGAAACATATTCATCTTCTTTTCTCTTTTTATATGGTCTGGCATATAAACACTGCATGTTGAGTAGATGCTTAAAAATAACAAATGAAGACTGTATCTCTAACTTCCTATAGTTATTTCTTATGGCATTGCCATTTAGAGACCCTTGGGAAATTATCCTGGTACTTTTTTCTTTTTTCATCCATTCAACACATATTTATTGCATGTTTCTCTGTCCCCATCACACAGAAATGTTCTGGCCAAGACAGATAAAGTTATTATCTGTGGAGCTTATATATTTCTAGGGAGGCAGGCAGGTAGCAGGAGGTGGGAATTGAGAGCTGCGCCATGAACAGCCATCAAGTAAGATGAACAAGATAAGTTTATATAGTGGTAAACATGAAGAAGAAATGAGAGCAAGACGCTATGTGATGGTGACAGGCGTGGGGGAGTAATGAAGGAGTTTAGATTGAATGGTAAGGAAGGGCCTCTCCAAGGAGGTGATATTTCTCTTTAAAGAAATCTGAGAAATCTTTTAGAACAGGCTTTGCAAGAATGGCTTTTCCTAAAACGTTTTGTGTTTTCCAGTGGAATGTATAAAACTGCCAGTTAGGCCGGGCGTGCTGGCTCAAGCCTGTAATCCCAGCACTTTGGGAGGCCGAGGCGGGTGGATCACAAGGTCAAGAGATCAAGACCGTCCTGGTCAACATGGTGAAACCCCGTCTCTACTAAAAACACAAAAAATTAGCTGGACATGGTGGCGCGTGCCTGTAATCCCAGCTGCTCAGGAGGCTGAGGCGGAGAATTGCCTGAACCCAAGAGGCGGAGGTTGCGGTGAGCCGAGATCGTGCCATTGCACTCCAGCCTGGGTAACAAGAGCAAAACTCCATCTCAAACAAAACAAAACAACAACAAAAAAAAAACCTGCCAGTTAGTTTCACTATGAAGCCAAATAAATGGGCAGGTAAAGGTCATCCTCTTTATCTGTGGGAACAGATACTCCCAGGTACTCGGAAGCAAACAAAACCTGTTTTGTTCAAGTTGTGTTTTTATCCACTTTTATAAGCACACAAAAATTATAGCAGGACTTTGGCAGGCCGAGGTGGACAGATCACGAGGTCAAGAGATCGAGACCATCCTGGCCAACATGGTGAAACCCCGTCTCTACTAAAAAAATACAAAAATTAGCCGGGCGTGGTGGCGTGCGCCTGTAGTCCCAGCTACTTGGGAGGCTGAGGCAGAAGAACTGCTTGAACCCGGGAGGCAGAGGTTGCAGTGAGCCGAGATTACACCACTTTACTCCAGCCTGGCACCTGGCAACAGAGCGAAACTCTGTCTCAAAAAAAAAAAAAATATGTTATAGCAGGAGACCTAAAATACTTGTGATAACAGCCCTTTTTGTGATAGTAGTCTGTCTGCCTGCCTCCTTCTCTTCCTTCCACCCTCTCTCTATCCATTTATCCACCCATCCATCCATCTCTTTCTTCCTCTTTGATAGAAGCAATTCTAGGAGAAACTAACCTAGCAAATAAATTTCCATTTTACATTTAAGTACGCACACACACACAGTATAAAAGCTGTAAGGCGCAAATGGACTTAACCTTTCTATAGCAGCAAAACCAGTTTAAAGCTTTCTAAGATTTTAGAGCTCAGTACAAGGTCTAGTCCCAGAATAAAGCCCTTTGGCATGAATGGAAGGTTGCTTCAGCTACTTTGCAATCTGCTTTTAAGACACAAGGAATGGAATGCAGGGTGGAAGTTTCAGAGCCTGTTTTCAGGGTGCTTGAGACAGGGCAGCTCAGAGGGCTACCAGTAACATCTGTGGGTGATCAGGCAGGCCCAAGATTCAGGCAGAAATCTTGATTCCTAAAGAAAGAGATGAAAGAGTAGAGGATAAATGGCGAGCAAGAGAAAAAACCCCAGAAATGCCCATGATGAGATATGGCAAAACAGTAATCTTGAAAAATATTCTGGGCATCTAGGCCAAAGGTGGTCAACCTCAGAAGCAACATGCTGAGAAGCAGTCTATACAGAGTAAGCACTTCAAACGATCAGCTAAATTAATAAATACATTGCTACATTAATGAGAGACAAGAGATTTGTTTGGTTTTTAATATTTCAACCAAAAGTAAATTCTTTGCTGGTTGTTTTAAACTTCAGATTGTCATGTTGTTCATGTTGATAAACATTTTATTGTGCATCTGCCATGTTTTCTCATCATTTCTATAGATTTTTCAGATTATATTTTCTCATGATAGTTCATACATTACTTTTAATTATTTTACAATGTTCTTGCTTTACTTTTATAATCATAAATTTAAAAAATCCTCCCTGATGCATTTGCGTTAGAGAAGGAGCCATGTCTATCACATTTAAAATTGTACTCCCAGGCTTTTACAGTGCCTGATATAGAATGTATATTTATTAATGAATGAATTCACTGGGGTGGGGAAATTTCTGGAAACCTCATAAGTTTGCAGAAATTTATGAAGTCAAATAAAAATGGAAAATGCAGCACGAAAGACAGAAATTCCTAGCCAACTTACAGAGCTTTGGAAAAAGAAAATTATTGGGGATAAGTTATAATAAAACTCCATTCTAACTGACTAATACAAATTAGGATAGATTTTGCTCGTATTTTGAAGGGTTCTCATGCTTTTTTTTCCTACCCCATAGCTCCACCAGGAGAAGATTGTACATCAGTCACAGACCTGCCCAATGCCTTTGATGGACCAATTACCATAAGTACGTATCTCTTCTAATCTTGATTAAATTTTCCTGTTTTGGGGAAAGCATTCAGGTGTGTTCTCTATGGTACTATTTGAATAGAATATTAGGTCGGGCGCAGTGGCTCGCACCTGTAATCCCAGCACTTTGGGAGGCCAAGGTGGGCGGATCACTTGAGGTCAGGAGATGAGCCTGACCAACATGGTGAAACCCCATCTCTACTAAGAATACAAAAAAATTAGCTAGGCATAATGATGGACACCTGTAATCCCAGCTACTCAGGAGGCTGAGGCAGAAAAATTGCTTGAACCTGGAGGCGGAGGTTGTAATGAGCTGACATTGCGCCACTGCACTCCAGCCTGGGCAACAGAGTTAGACTCCATTTCCAAAAATATATATATGTATATAGAATAGTAGTCATTACCCCAAGGCTAAGGACAGCTGGTTTTAATTCACTGTCTCTTCCCTTTTTTCTGCAAAGACTTGAAACTGCCCTCTGGTTTACATTCATGCACTGTGCCTCAAACTTCAGTCATTCGAAAATCACTTTCACATTTTTTTTGGCATCTCTGTGTACACTGCTATCATTTACTTGATATTTTTTATTTAATTGGCCCATTGTTTTCTACTTAATAT